TGATAATCCAAGGCAGTCAGCCTTAAGGATATGCAGATGCAGAACATGAGCCAAGCACTAACGTATTTGCTAGGGTGTTTACCTTGAGCGGCCCCTTAATAGTCAGAGAAATGTTAGCTAAATGTTTCTCGCTTCTTACATGCCACAGGCAAAGTAAAACGTGCAGCTACTGAGCATCATCCGAGGTGAAGTAGTTTAAGGGTTTAGAAATCTGAGCAAGCAATTGCGGTAACATCAGTGTCTTGGGTAATTTTGAGCTAAGAGAGACAGCAAAGTACAGCACTAGTTTCTGCATGCTTTTTAGGTGAGGAGAAAGTGTTTTCTACCTCTAAATTTACTGTAAAGAAAAGGAATCGCCATGGTCGATATGAAAGCTGAGCATGCTAAATTGGCATTAAGCTTATGGTGGGTAGCTCAAAGCAAGTTGAAAAAAATTTAACCCTGAAAGTGTGCCTGTATGCCTCAGCAGTCAACTGAAGCCCAAATATTTTGTGGTGGAAAAAAATATTTGCTGCCTTTTTTTATTTAAAGTTAAGATTTTTCTTAAAGCTTTGTTTAGAGTGTTGGTCCATAATTAAAAAAAAAAAAAGAAAACCACAGTAGGAACAAAACATGGGCAGTTTTAGTGAAAGGATGATAACCCATAGCCAGTACTTTGGAGGAGAAGTAATGCAATAGGTTCCTATGGTGCTGTTTTAGAGTCCTGAGAGTTTAAGCACAAACATGAAAGTAATCCCTCCACTGCTTTGCCAGGCTGGAGTTGCTGTGCAATTGCAAAATACTGTCCATCGTGTAGAAACCCTCCATGCTGCACAGTTACCCAAGGAACCAGTTTTCCTGGTTTAGCCTTTCTGAGAATGTGTACCAGATTTGGGGTTTGTTTTTGGTTTATGGTGTTCTTAGAAAAATAGGGAACTTGCCAGGGAACTACCATATGGCTGGAAGATGATTTGTTTGTTTTCTTTTGTTTGCATTCTGTGGGTGCTGAGACAATGTCCTGGTTGAATGTTTCAGTTACAGTGAACTGGAGGGACCTTACAGACACTTGTCTGAATGTGTGTGCTAAAAGTCCCCAGTCATGGACAGGCCATAGTCTCCCACAGACAATCCTACGTGCTGCTCCGTTGTTCTTTCTGTTACAAAGCTTCCTGCCCTCTCAAGTAAACCTCTCACTGTAATTAATGCCTCATAGCTGCTGACATGCAAACACCTGGCCATCTTTGTCCCTTGGGTGTTGCGTTTGGTGTGTCCTGGGCCTGTTTTGAAGAGTAGTGCCCATGACCAGATACTGTAGTGGCACAGAAGTCTCGATGCTGCTGTCTGAAATAGAAAACTTGTGATGTAATTTGCAACTATGATGCACATAATTATAGATTTTCTCTGACTTGATGACACTAGTCTGATACCTTCAGGTTTCAGCTCTGAAGTGCACAGCTCTTTCATGTAGGCTCAGAGCCTGAGACCAAAGGATATGAAGCATTTGGATATTTTTGAGGAGGAAGCAGTTGGCCTCCCTTCTGGGCATCCATGGCAGCTTCTGCCATCTCTAGAGACACAGAGAAGACTGCCACATGTGCACCAGAGCTTGTATATTTCCTGAAACTATAAGTGATTAAGAAGTTTATTTTATCTTCTAAACAGCTCAAATTGTTGCTTTTAAAGAATGCAACTACTGTGTTATAGCAAACTGTTTGGGCTGTCTGAACACCACTTCCTTGCTTCAACAGTGATAGGGAAGCAGAAGTGCTTCCCACTTACCCCGGTAGCGGTGCTTTCTTCAGATAGGATATTATTTTTAAAAGTGCATTATCCAAAGAGACCCAGAAAGGTCATACAGATTGTTAGTTGAAGTATGTTGAATCACCCACTTCTTGTAAGATGAACAAGATTAGCCTGAACATGACCAATTCTGTGTTGTATAGGGCAATCTGAAGTATAAGGTAAAAAATAAAATGTTCCTAAATGTTCCTTATCAAAGAAGGAAGAACTTCATAATTTGGCTGCAGAAATATAATGGAAGTAGAGAGGTGGGACAAGCTGGTGATGTGCTGCTTTACAACATTGGCTATAATCACTCACCTTGGGGACTGTTTCAAACTCTCTGTGTGTATAAAGTTAATATGACAAAATGTGCTCTCTGTTTCAAAATGCTGCTCCTGTTAGGCAGCGGAAAAGAATTCTGCTTACAGAAGTTACTTAAGGGAAGTTTCATGTAAATAGTGTTGGGGATTTTTTTTGGTGGGTCATCTTGGGATGGTTGGGTGGTTTTTTTGGAGGGTGTTAAATTTTTTTTTTTTTTGGTGGGGGGAAAGGGTTGGGGGCTTTTTGGTAGGATTTTTTGTTTGGTTTTTTTTGTTGCTTTGGGTTTTTTTAGTTCTAATTGTTCTAAAGGTAGTTGTTCTTAATAGCATGATATTCCTCCTCTCTGCTGAACAAAAAGTGGAAATGGAGTTTTGAATGCCTAGCAGCTACAGGATCCAACTGATAGTTTTTATTTGCTCATGTAAAAGACTAATTCTAGTATCCTATTTTCTGCTGAGGCTTGCTGTCAGACCTTGCTATTTGTGTTAAGCTAGTCAAAACGATGACTTGTTTGTTAATACAGTTTAAAAGTTTATTTTTTTGGCAGACTTACTGTAGGGTTATCTTAATTCCTGTAACCATAACATTCAGAATGTATTCCAAAGGTAAATGCTTTACAGTGCATTCATTACATGCAGAAGCAGAGCTCCTCTGAATTTCTGACTAATCGTCTTTTTCTTTTTTCAGGGTTTCGCAAAAATGATGAAATGAAGGCTATGGAAGTATTGCCAATCTTAAAGGAAAAAGTTGCATACCTTTCAGGTACAGTTTTTTTTCTGTTGTGGAATACCCAGCTGTGATTTTAGTAGTATGTGAAATGGTATTTGAAACACTTCAAATATCATTATAAAAGTCATGGAGAGCTAGGGTAGCACCTATTCTAGTAGGATATGCCAAACACAACGTCAGCATTTTGGAAGGATCTGTAACAAAGAAGGTATGTGTTTTGTTGAATGTGTAACATTTCTAGTTGTCATCCTGGTTGTGTCATGTCCCTCATCCCCTCTGCCCTGCGTATCTAACACCATCATTTGCAACAATTTAGAACCTGCTGTCATATTCCTTTTCTTATTTCTGGTTGTTCTGCTGGGGAGTGTTACAGAGATGCTTTGTTATTGGCCCATCTGAAGCATATTCTGGAGAAATAGCTCTGTTGCAGAGGTGATATTTCAGTGCCTAACTTTTGAAGAACACTTAATATCTTCATGGTGAAATGAGTTAGCACCTAATTTTAGGTAGTTCCAGTATACACCTTGAAGTTGGTTTGTCACTGAACAAGGAATAGCAGAGGATTTAAAAGGGGGGTTTACATGAGTTAGTATTATAACATAGTCTATAATTTGAGAAGTAACTGGACTTGATGGAATGATGGCTGAGGTACTTATTCTTGTGAACTGCATTTTGGTGTGACTTTCTATTGGGATAAAACACCATCGTTCTCTTTGCCATAAGCTTAGTGCCAAATGATTTAGATGACAGTCTTATATTTGAAAGGTTTGTTTTTTTTAATAAATAATTTGTCAAGAATGCAAAAAAACCCCTCTTTACTGCAAATATTAAAACACACAAAATGATTCCTGGAATTGTACTCTTAAGAGATCTGCTGTTCATGGATCCTGATGCTTGCCAGTACAGTGTATAGTACATAGCAGAGTGGACAGGATAAAGTACTGAGTCAAGTAGAAGTGTAAAGCAAAAAGATGTGTGTGGGTGTTTTTTGGGTGGGGTTTTGTTTTTTCCTTTCTTAAAAGTTCCTGGCAGCTCTAGTGAATGTTATAACAGACAGTCCAGAGCTGCTTTCCCTGGTAGCATGGTAACTCATGATTCTTCTGTGTATGAATTGTAGTGCTGATGAAGGATTGCTGAAGACTGTATATTCAGAAAGAAAGAAGAGGACAAAAGGGAATGAAACACAATATTTCAATTTCTCATTACTCTTTTTTGGACCTTGTTTTATGGCACTTAATGAAAATGAAGTCAGTTTCCATTCCAAAACCTCTGACCTTCTAGGTTGTCCAGTACTTAGAAGGGATGCCTGAGAAGAGACCTAAAAATTGGTGTTTTCTAATGTTAATTTGTAAGCAGATGGCATTCTCCAAAGGCATTAATTCAGTGCAAGTGAAGTGGGCCAAATGAAAGCTGAAGATAAATTTAAGGGGAGATGATGGATTGCGAACCAGAGCAGATGAGGTGTCGGCAGGAATAAATGTTTGCCAACTTGACTGTGTGAAGGTAGCAACTTTTTATGGAAGAATGGAGCAAACAGCTGTAGGCAGCAAGACTGGCTAGAGCTGCTCTGCCAAAATCCATGGTTTCACATTTCTGTTGCAAGTGAAACTCAAATGAAATAAGAGACATTAGTAGTGCAAATGATTTTAAGAAAACCTTACAAACAGCAACCCACAATAAGACTCTTCAGTGTTTTCCCCACTTGCCCCTTCCCCCAACAAAAGTACCAACAGCACTAGGGCTTAACCACTCTGGAACTAGAACTGTCAAGCTTTATACCTCAGAACACAGGGGTAAGGAAGACTGTTGGATTACTGAACCAGTTTTACCCAACTGGAAATAAACTGCTTGAGTATTGGATGCCTTACCACCTGAAATGGCTACATCTCTAGGCTTTTCTATGAAGTACAATTAGAATCTTGGATACTTTTTTTTTCTAAGTTTAAACTGAAGTCTGTCAAAGCACAGATAACTCTTACATCTCTACACAGACTTACATAAGGAGAGCATTTTCTTACAAAGTGCAATTGTCTTGGTTTCATATGAGGAAATAACTCGTAACTCTTGATAAATTGTCCTGCCTTAAAAGCCCACTGGCCTAAGTACTTTGAAGCTAGGTAAAAAGGCATTGCCTTAAAAAGCTGCACTACTCAGCCTATTGGATTTTAGTGCCATTTGGAGACCATTGAGAATCCTGCTGTTAGTGATGTCCACTAGACAGAAGTGATTCAGGTTAGGTGACTCATGTGAGTTGGTCAGATATTCATGTGACACGTTTTGGCATAAACAGAGAGAATATCTCAGTACTGTAGGGGGGTTATATAAAAGGAAAAGGGTAAAAATTGAAGTGTCACCTGTGAAAGTAGGGCCTTAATATGTTTTTGTTAAACAAAGACTAATAGGGAATTGAGTTGGATAAAGGCTGTTATGAGACAGGAAATTCCCACCTGATGCCTCATACATTGTTGCTTTTCACCTTCCTGTTTGTGTATGACACAGGAGCATCAAGAATAAAGGAAATGAGAGTTATTTATTGGAAAGGCCCTAAGAAAGCTGTCAGTATAGCTGATGGCAAAAAACCAAAGTCTTAGGGACTTTTTTGCTTAATATTTACAATTTTACTAACTGGATTAAGATTGGATAGTGAAATTATTTTCATCAAAAATCAAGTCTGTATTAATATCATCATTAGTCATCTAGACCTGGAATTTGTACAACAGATTTTGTCTCTGATGTACAAAAATTTCAGCATATGATTTGTCAGAAATGTAAGCACCATTTGAAAAAGGGGTTTTCTCTGTGGTATATGTGTGGCTCCAGTGGTGGCTCTGGAGCTCAGCAGAGGCCTGGGCTGGTGAACTGTCAGTGTTGTCATTTATCATTCCTCTCTCATGTGGCTTTTGTCTTGTTTTAGTCCTGTCGCTTGCTGTGTAAAAATCCTCAAAGCTCTCTGCTTGGCAAGTGAGTCAGGATGGTTAAGACTTGCCCTTCTCCATTAGACAACTTAGTTTTTAATCTCATGTCCCACTTTTTAGAGAGTCATGGAAGGTAAGGATATGAATTTCCTTTTAAGTTTTAGGTTCTGATGTTGCAGCTTGACTGAAATTCAAAGATGCTTTTGCCTCTTGTGAGTTTCATTTGGTGCCTCACAGGGAACATGTCCAGTGTAGGCACTCCCTAGAGACTTTGACAGCTAGGCTTGCTGTCTCTAGCAAGCACACACAGACAGTGTTGGAGAGGATAGTGATGAATTTTTGAGTGACTGGTTTTATTAATTTTCTTTTGGCCTTCCTTTCTAAGAGGTGTTTTAAAAACTTTGTTTAGTAATATGGAATTACAATGAAGAGCTGATTTAAAATGAGAAATCCTGGACTGAGGATAGTGTTTTCCTGCGTTTCCATGGGACAAGAGAAAACAGTCCACACATCTGTGCTTGAGAACATATATGTGAAATTTAGCTTGTAAGAATGTGTCTGTGCTATTATAGGTGTGTTGATAAAGACATCCTACTGGCTTGAACTTAGCATTTAGTAATAGTAGCATTTTGTTGTCACAAGTGAGGGGTCAGATATAAAATTGCATTTTACTGTTCAACAGCAGTAAGTCTGTGCAATTTTGTGACTGAGATGAATGCATTTAACTGGAACTACTCAAAGTCAGATTTTTTGCCGTATATATTAAATGGGTTCACAATTTCCTGCATTGCTAACAAAATTAAAAAACTATAAACTGGCAATTTGGAATCCGCAAATTAGAACAGGATAAAAGTACAGATTTAATGCTTAAATAGTTTCCATCTACTCAATCTAGTAAATGCACTGAGTGTGAAATACTGTACATCTAAACCCTGGGCTAGTAATGAAGTTAAGCATAGAATTGTAAGATCATTTAGGTTGGAAAAGACCTTTAAGATCGTTGAGTGCAGCTTTTTACTTGGCATTGCCAAGTCTACCACTAAACTGTGTCCTTCAGTGCCACATCTACATGTCTTAAATACCTCCAGGGATGATGACTCAACTGCTTCCCTGGACAGCCTATTCCAAGGCTTGACACCCCTTTTGGTGAAGAAATGTTTCCTAATCCCTAATCTAAACCTCCCCTAGCACAAGATGAGGACATTTTCTCTTCTCCTATTACTTATTACCTGGAAGAAGAGACTGACTTCCAACTCACTGCAGCCTCCCTTCAGGTCATTGTAGAGAGCGATAAGGTCTCCAGAGGGGGAGAAGGGACCAATCCTCACCTCAATACAATCTGCTTTCAGGTAGTTGTATGGAGTAATAAGGTCTCCCCTGAGTCTCCTTTTCTCCAGGCTAAACACCCCCAGCCTCCTCATCACTCCTCAGAGGACTTGTGCTCCAGACCCTTCACTAGCTTGATTGCTCTTCTCTGGATATGCTCCAGTACCTCTGTCTTCCTTGTAGTGAGTGGCCCAGAATTGAACACAGGATTTGAGGTGTGGCCTCACCAGTGCTGAGTACAGGGGGATGATCACTGCCCTGGTACTACTGGCCATGCTATTTCTGATACAAGACAGGATGCTATTGGGCTTCTTGGCCACCTAGGCATGCTGCTGGCTCATGTTAATCCACCTGTCAACCAGCAGCCCCATGTCCTTCTCCACCAGGCAGCTTTTCAGCCACTCTTCCCCCAGCCTGTAGTGTTG